GTAGTAGTAGTAGTAGTAGTAGTAGTTGTAGTAACAGTAGTAGAAGTAGTGGTAGTAGGAGGAGGAGGAGGAAAAGCAGCAGCAATAATAATGATGGTGGGATGGTGTTATCGAGGGTAATAACGACGATGATGGTGTTGATATTTATGATAAGGAGACAGAGTTACTCATCATCTCTTCTGACAAACGTTTTGGGGTGTTTTTTTCTGGATAGTTTCGACGTGTCACAATTTCAAAAACATAATATCAGCTTCCAAGTCGTGGAATATTATTTTTTTCTTCAGGAGATAGAAAAAAGTAGATGTCTTCTGAGTATCCTCATTTCCATAAAAGGCTGTTCAGATGATTATAATACAATCATGCTAGCTCTATTACAACATTTTACCCAAGGAAATGACTTTTGCTGGAGAAGTAACACCTGTATCAAAAATGGAAAAGATCGATATTTTCTTTCAAAACGCTGAATGTACTGAATACAGGTTTCTTGAACTAAAGCACGTTTATCAAAAGCATTGTTACCTCGTGTGTTGTTTGTTTGCTGGAGTGGGTGGTTGGCGGGTGCTCTGGTGGGTTTGCTCCTTCTTTCCTATCAAACATCTATCGTCCTTGTCCTCCTCCTTCTTTTTGTGTTTGTTTCTCTCTTGTAACACCTTTAATCTGAGATACTTATATGACCTTATTGTATTGCGAGTGTCGTAAAACGTTTACTGAAACTAAAACTAAGAAAGGAGTATCAGTATCAGCAGCATAAACAGCAAGATAAGTAGTAACGGTAGCGATTAGCAGTAATAGCAGTATTGTTAAAATAATAATAATAATAATAATAATAATAATAATAATAATAATAATAATAATAATTGCGACATTGTATTGTGAGGTTATTTAAGTGCCGGAACTTACAAATTTAACGCCCATCTCCGATAGAACCGAGCCAAATGGATGGAGATCCTTTAGAAAGTCCCCAATACAACTGAAGTTCAGACCACCCTGTCTGGGATTCAAACCAAGGCCGTCCACTCCGCAGTTCAGCATGACAATAATATTATACCAGCTAAGCTAACGGTAGTAATAGTAGTAGTAGTAGTAGTAGTAGTAGTAGTAGTGGCAGTAGTAGTAGTAGTAGTAGTAGTAGTAGTAGT